CCGATTTGTCTATCTCATTAGCTCTTCTAGAGTTAGCATGGGCCTCCAGGCTGCTTCTCTATAATGATCTTCTCACTTCCAATTGCAGTTTATACAAAAACTATTTTAGAACCCTTAAGCCACCTCATTGGCTATGTGTTAGCTTTAGTATTTACAATATGGATCCAACTAAAACAAAAAGAAGACATCCAGAGTAATACTGACTGCAGTTAAAATTTTGAACTATAGTGAACATAAGGCACAACAAAAAGGAGACAAAGCTTTCTAATGCTGTTTGAAGACTGATTCTATCCTACCACATCCTCACAATTACATAAAACACAAAGACTTAAACACAGACATATGTGGGCCCACATGTTTATAATCACAGCATGTCTAATATCAGAGTAATGCTTTAAGCTTTGCTATCTTATTTTACTACTTCCTAAGCCGTCAACATTTTACTTCCAATCCAGAGGCTTTGGGTTTGGTTGGCTATCATCCAAGCTTCTCCTTCTCCATGTGACTACTTCTCTACCCATCTGTCCCTCTGCCTCATTGTGTTTCCCCCGTTTTCACCTCGTCTCTTTCTGCTCTCTTCCCTGTGCTCCACCTGTCCATCTATCATCGAAACACCTCACAAAAGGAACACATGCAGAAGCAGAAAGCATGTCAAACGATAAGCCTAGAGCCAATTTTCCTTCCAAATCACACATGCCGACTCGGAGCCAACAACAGCTGTAAATGCCGTCATCTGCATATGCGTGATGCGGTCGCCGCCGGGAGGCGCCCGTCTCCAGAATCCATGAATGCCCAAATCACTGTGGAAGCAAATTTCCATCAATCAAACAGCTGAAGGTGGAAAAGAAACCCAAGTGCCGACCCTGCGGTTCAAAAAGACGTTGGGTCACACTTCTGGTGCTGTTATGTTTGGCAGATCACGGGGAACTTGTTGGACCGGCTAGCCCCTTAACAACTGCAGTCAGAAATAGACCGTGGACTTTCGCGGTCGGCTCATTTTGAAGAGGTGTCAAATACGCTGGGGCCATGAGCGATAGCCGCTGTGTGTGTGTGTTTGTGTGTTAAAAGGCAAGGGGTGTTGTGTATCGTTCCCCACATTTTGTGTCAGGGACAGTTGGGATGAAGGCAGGGAATGAAGCAAAAGGCCAGCCAGAGGACAGCTTGTGATCTGAGGACACACGCTGCTCACAGTACACCACCACATATGTACCCAGACAGAAACACAGACGAAGAGACGCATTTCAGCTCCTTAAAAAAAAAAAAGGATGCAGTAAATTTCCATTACGCCATTAACAAAGTTTTTTTTTTTCCCAGGTCTAACTTTTCAAGCCTTTATTCATTCACTACAATGCAACATACAACCGTGAGCTGAATAGAATAACCAAGTGCAATAGAAAACAGCAGGTGTTTGTCTTTCCCTCAAAGCTGCAAATCATTTCAACAGCTGACTGACTGAACCGGTGAACACAGGTTCACACATCCAAGGAGCAGATTGTTTTGATGGTGATATTTAAAAGAGGGGGCCTCAGTGTGACAACTGCACCCAGCTGTTACACATGTAGCTTCAAAACAGCTCTGATAATCTGCTACCGGCTGGAGCACTACAGTGCATTATTATTAATGTAATGAAAGGAGAGGCAAGCAATGTAAAGAACCCTGTTTGGGTCCTTTTCCTAATCTGGACATTTATTAACACTTTCTCTAAATCTTCAACTTCTCAATGGATGTTTCTCTCCTCCGTGCAGAGGCCAGTGTGGAGGAGGTGCCTGAATGCAGCTGCTGCCCCAGCCTTCTGATTCCTGCCAAGCAGCAAACTTTCCTCTGTCAGATTAAATAGGATTAGTCGGCCCTGCTGTATGATGAACTCAAAGCTTCACATGGTGACTGGTAACTTTCCAAATATGTGAGGCAAAAAAAAATCAGGGTATTAGTTGGTTTGACAATTCAAATTACACAGCCCAATTACAGTGCCATGTAAAAGTGTCCAGTGAACTTTTCACATTTAGTCATCTAAAAATCACTAACATCAATGATTTTCCAATATTTAAATCAATATTCAATTGAAATATTAGGTATAAAACCAAAAACAGCTTCCTGAATAAATACTTTGTTGAATCACTTTTGAAATATTTACTGTTTTGCACATCTTCAGACCAAATGTTTGGGTCTTCTTAGTGAAAATATAGAAAAGTTAGGACAAATGGAACGTGGCTGTCAAAATGATTTGTGCAAATATTGCATTAAATTCTCAGTTTAAGTTTGGTTTGGTTTGTTATATTTTACAGATAGATTTGCTCTTATCTTGATAGTTCTTTGACTTATGGCTGGATCCTCTGTCCTTTTTAGCCTCTGACATGTTTTCTTGCAGGATCACCCTTCATTTACTGTACATCCAACCATCTTAACCAAGATGACGAAATTCTTCACTGAAGAAAATCATTCTCACTGCATAATGCTGGCAAAACTGTGTTAAACTGAGGGGATGCTCTTAGGATGATTAACAGTTTTAAATTCCAGCCACTTATTTAAGCCAACAAGCTCAGTTTTTCTTTCTCAACTCACCAGTGCATGTCCAACACATATATGCGGTGTCCCTAAGCTTGTTGAAAACTACCAAAAAGACCTTGTTTGGCCTACTTTCAAGAATTGTTTTCTACTCAGAAGCCAGATATCTTTTGAGGGCACAACTTATAGAAATCACGATCAAAGCTTCTCCTACCTAAGCTGTGAATCTCTGCAGCTTCTCTAGTATTTCCATGCATCTCCTGGCTTCTTCTCATAATAACTATCTAAATGTGGAGCCTGTATATTTGCAGTTGTGGCCCAGCTTTAAGAAACGTATCTCTATTGCACCCCATTGAGATGGTATCTGAAGGAAATTAAAAGCACTCGATTTTAATTTAGGGAATAGAAATGCGAATAAAAAGAGATATTCCCGGTAACTTCACAGTTTTATAACATTTTCTGATAATATATATCCTAAACCTTTAGAAGAACAAATAAAATTTTCTGTTTCTGGTAAAAGTTGATTAATATCCATGGTCTCTGAGTTTTAAAATAATTTTTGGACTGCTGAGGGTATGAAAAATCCCACCTGTTTATTGCAATTTGCCTTTTTATTTCCTTTGATTCAGAAACACACGTGCTTAGTTGCGGGAGCTCGTGCACACACAGATGCATGGAGACACGCTCTCATCCTGACTTCATGCTCAGAGCAAGTTGCTCTCATCAGGGGATGCAAAGTTCTTTTGTGTGCTAAAATGACACACATACTCGCACGAGCACATGCATACTCTCTCATTGGTATTTTTATCTATCCCCAGAGTCACTTGGTGGCTGCTAGCCATATTACTCTACAAACTACAGAGAAGCCATGGTCACACCAGCTAGTACTTAAGATCCCCCACCCTTCATGTCAGCAGTAGTATGTCTGGGGTAGTCTACAGCAGGGAGAATGCAAGGTGATACATAGAGCCAAACACGGAAAGAATTCAGTCTGTTATCATCTGCTGCCTGCAAGACCTCCGAGGATACTTGCACACATTTGCACAGAGACAACACACAACAGAGGCCCTGAAAACGTGACCACATGACAGGGCCAAAGGCGTGCACATGCACTGGCTCCTCACACAGGTTTTTTTCCTCCTGAGGCGAGGCTAAAGCATCCAATCTCAGTCTTTCTTGTCTATCTCTGGCACTGATAAAGGTTTATAATGAACTGGGGACTAGAACTCAGTCCCCAAGACTGATGGCTTTATGGCCTCAGCCAGATCATCACCCTCTGTGGACTTTTGTTTGCCACCGGGTAAGAACAGCAAGAGAGCCAGGAGAGAAAGGGGGGGGCAAAGATTAAAGTTTTACACTTCAACCTTTGAGAAGTATTTTGCAATATCCTCTGTTCCCATGTCTACAGTTTACTATGGACACGTTCCCTCAGATCTGCACCGCAAAACTGAGTTCAAGCTGAAATAAATTCAAAAAGTTATGATAAGGCAGCCTACCGTCACAGGTAGGAGCCAAACTAAGGGACAAAGGTCCTCTTGTGCCTTATCGACTTTTCCCTTATCTTTTGTACTCAAATCTAAAATTGTGTTTGTAAACTGGTAACAGTTGAACAATTTGTTTGGGTTGCATTCAAGAATGTGGCTAACTGCTGTGTTCAGAGTGTCTGTGTTCTCTTGTCTTGGCATCAAAGTGAGGACCATTTTCCGAATTCCATCATCAAATAGAGTACTGTTTGTCCAAATTACTGCAGTGCAAATATGCATTGTATAATGCACAATGAAGCTGCAGGAAACTCTTATGAATGAAATAATGCTTTAAGAGCTACACTATCATGCCCCAATATATCTAATTAAAGTGACATTTATGTGCCTCAAATTGTTATCTAGTTGCATTCAGATTATGGCTTTGACTGGAGAGGTGAGTAAAGCTTTTATTTTGAGCCTAGCATATGAAGGTTAGAATTATAGGCTTGGTATCATATTGCATCCATGTCTGACACTCTAAGTTAGAAAGGAAGTGGTAGTTTAGTTCAAATTGTTGTGCTAATGGAGTTTGCTAAAACACTTCTTGTCAGATTGTCTGGCAGCACTTAAGTTTCAAAAGCATCTAATAAGCTTTGACTATTTTAAAATCATTTCTCTAGCCAAACTGTTAGATTTCTGAGGCTATAACAACTTAGTTACCATTAGCAGCTAATGAAGCCAAAGTTATAATTTCTTTCAAAAGTAGTAGTTGCTGGATTTCCCTATTGTACTAACAGAATCAACTTTTGAAAACTTTTTATGGGGTTATCAGACAAAACCGGCAAAAAAAAGCACAGAAAAGCCTCCAACACTGGAAAAATAAAAGATAGATATGATATTGAAAGTATGTAAGCATTGTGAGGATAGGACAGCTACAGTTACTGATTGGGATGTAAGAACCTTTGAATTTATTCAACTTTGAGTTGCACTGTTTTTTGACAGAGTGCAGAAACAGACTTCTGATCAACTTACCTCGAAAAAATTAGATGCTTCATTCCCATACTGAGAAGAAATGATCTCTGATTGGTCGCTGTACCATTTAAGGCCTCCCAGAAAGCTGTCGGCATCCAAGTCACTGACATCCAGCTCTGAGAGGTCAAGTTCAGGAAGGTCTGGGCAGAGGGGCTGGTCTTCACCAACCAAGGCAGCACACTACAGAAGAGAAAAAATACAAAGATAATTAGACATGAGGTAAACACACAATTTATCACTTAACTTGGCAAATAAACACAAAAAAACATCTTCTAAATCTTAGAAAGTGTCTAAGATTAGAAATTTTTGTATTCATTATGTCTCTTTCATTTGACTCCCAAAGTGCACTTAACAACTACAATTAATATATAACTTCTTTACCATCACCTCCATTTGTCATTAACAGGCCTGCTATGAGGGCGCTGTAGGTTTTTCTTTCTTTTCTTTTCTTTTCTTTTTTTTTTTTTTTTTTTTAAGAACTTGCAACCTGTTTCCATTTAGCTTCTGTCAACCTCCAGTACACTGTGTACACTGTTATTGGAGGGGCCATGGCCTCCCGGCTACTAAACGCTGCCTGTTGACATTTTGTTATTCACCAGCCTCTTTTATGTAATCTAGTCAATGTGTATACTGTTTGTAGCAGCTGCTCCTGCTTTTTGGGTGATCAAATCATCAAGTCTGGCCCTGGCTGCAGACTGAAGAAGGGCAGGTGCCTCAGAGAGTGGGGAGAAAGGGAAGGTTGACTCTCTTTTGCAGAAAAAGAAACAAATCTTTGGCTTCAAACCCAAGTAATTATAAGGACCATTCTCAGGTATTTATATTTTGGTCCCATCAAATGTAAAACAAAAGTGTACTCTATCTATTTTGAATGCAAACCTATTTATTATTCTTCTAAATACACATTACGTGCGTTTATTTAGGCAACAAGAGAGACATCATGAGTCACAGCAACGAGCCTTTGCTCCCTCCAGAGAGGGAGTCGGGTTCGGATCGGAGGCAAAAGCTGGGGCAAGGTGATGTTGTGCCAAGTTGTAAAACCCGTCCAGATCTTGATGTCACAGTTCGTGTTTCCAAAGGAATTTGCCAACACATTCGGGACCGCGATCAGACCGCTGTGGTGATGCAAATTGCAAAAGAGAGGTGCGACAGATTCACTTCGCAACGACAGGTTGACATGATACATTTAGGAAAAACAGAATAAAATGCTACAGAACTGTTCAGATATTCAGAGAGTGGACGTCCTGTACTCGAATTATGGCACGGACGTCTTGTACACTAATGAAATAGCGCCGCCAGCCAGGAGATCAGGGTGCACCACTGCGCTCCAGCGATTTTTACGCACGCATCGCGCATTAAAACACCTGCACAAATAATAAGTGGAAGTAGGCATCCTATTTGTTTGCAAAGCAAGCTTTTAACATGGAACCCTTCTACAGGATAAAAAGAAGTTTTTAAAGGTGTCTGTCTCCTGTCGCAGTCCAAAACAGAACCTCACCGAAAGCATACCTGAATCAGAGTGCAGTTACGCACTTAGTGCTTATATTTGTTCTTACAGCGCATAATAACACAAAAAATATTATGCCAGGCTGCAGTTATGCTAGAAAAATGAAGAATAACAAAGCAGACAGGGAAGAAAAGGAAAAATACAATAAAGAATCGGAGAATTAGGGGGGATTTGTTGAATACGCATCCTTTGGTCAGTCGCCTTTACTTATGTCCGATGAGGAATGGGGGAAAAAAGGAGCTGAAATCAACAGAAGAAAGATTAAATATCATCGACCCTGGATCTGGATGATGACTGTAAAGCAATGATGCTCCTGCCAGATAGCGTTGCTTCTCTGGTTTGGGAGAAACCTTTAAAAAGCTATCCAAAAAGCAAGGAATATCAGAGATTATCACCCGCCAGTGGATTTCATCTGTCAAACGAGAAATACCTGACTCTGAGACATTTCAGTCATTTCAGCAGGAACAAGCCCCCCCTCAACCCCTTGCACTAGGAGCGCGTTCCGTCCGCGGCTGGAAAGAAATTCTCCGTCAGCCTTGCAAGCGCAGATCCTGCAAGAGGGTAAAAGCGGGGATTCTTAAAAAGAAGAAAAAAAGGGATCCTTGACGCGCGCCTGACAGCCACTACATGTTTAACTGAGGTGGAAAACAGGACTCCGCATGTCAAATATCCCCTTGCAGTAAATCCCTCGCATCCTTAACCGCCGCGTCCAGACGCGCGCTACACCGGTGCCACTAGAAGCGGAGGAGCAGGAGGAGAGACTTATCCATCGTTCCAGGTAAAAGCAAAAGGGGGAAAACTCCAGAGGACTAAAAATACAAAAAAGGATTGTCTTTTTTGTTTGTTTTGTTTTTTTTTGCTTTTAATGCGCTCACCTCTAATTCTGTCCACACCGAGTCCTGGTTACACCTGTCCCACGCCATCCAGAAACACTGAATGACGCTCCGAGAAATAAAAAAAAAAAAAAAAAACGAAAAAAAAAGGGGGGGAAATAAAATCAAGTAAAAAAGAAATCCACGCACGCTTCCCACTCGCTCTCACACAGGCAACTGCTGCCCCTCGCCGAGAATGAACCGAGGGCACCTGTCTTACTACTGCTTTCCATCACATGACAAAGCTATTAAAAGTAGGCAGGGGAGTGACTCCGCGTCCACTCCACTCGCCGGTGACGCGCGGCGAGCGGGCGGAGTCTGGCAGCGCAACATAGTAAAATCCCGCTGGGGCACTGCAAAAAAAAACATCTCATGAAAACCAGTTTATTATTGGGACAAAATCTGATATCAGTAAAAAAAAAACGCCATATATGACCAGCATAAGACCAATTTATAATATAAAAGTTAGAAAAGCTCAGGTGCTTTGAGCCATCATTATTTAAAGTCTTACTTTAGTAGCTGCATTTGCTGCTATTTTCAGAGATTTTAGAATTAGCTGCGCTCCCGTAATTTGGGGAGCTAAGAGATATGGCCATACACTACGGAAGAGGATTAGGGCCACTGAAAAAAAAAAAA